CACGCCTCCGGTGATATTGAGTGAATGTTGGCTACAATGTATATCTGATCCTAGCCCAATGTTCGGACAGCATCAGTAGTATACATTCACAACATTTCATAATAAACATTCATACAATGTTGAACCAGCCTATTTTATATGTTTGTTCATATGTTCACTAAACATGTTGCAATTTTATTTGAAAAACGCCAGACTGAAATGGCGGTGTAGTAAGCGAATTATGGATGGCGAAAAGAAGATTGTGCTGCAACTCGGTCTCGGTCATCGAGATTGTGCTGCATCCCGATCATCTGCTCTTCCGCCGACTGTGAGTGGAAATCTCCGTGTAGTCCAAGATCCATACCCCGGGCCATCAGCGGTATCTCGTCCAGGTTATCTTCGGCCTGTCCCCGAGGGTGCTCGGTTCCTTCATGCGTGCTCTGCAGATCGATGTGGACTTCAGGCTCGTTGCTCCTTGATCCAGATTCCTGACCATCCACATCCGGGGCGGCGGGCGATGGCATGTGGTCCAAATCTATCAGGCGCTCACGAATGAAAGCAACAACACCGGCAGACTCCGATCCGGGGGTGCCGCCCTCTGTACGTAAGGCGGGGAAATCCTCGTTCCACCTATCGATTAACTTGCGGCGCTGAAAGATATGCACTAGGCCGAGGGCGGAGAGCGGCCGCCGTCCTGTGTATGGTTCAGCATTATGTGCCGGCGGCGGAGAAGCAGGGGACTTACCAAACAGAAAATACACGATGTTCGCTCCGAAGAAGAGAACAAATGTGCCGTTTATGAATGTCCAGAAACCACCAAATGTGGCTACTCCAGCCAAAGCCGAGGTGTCTGTATATTCCTGTAAAATCTTTGTTGCAAATGTCTCGCGTTGGAACAATGTCAGAGTCGACGTGTTGGCTGCGGTCGTTGTAGGCGACTGATTTGTCTGTATCGTGTTGACCTCAGCAACTATGAGGTTACTTAGGGGCTGAAACTCAATCATTAGGATACACAAATCTATACTGACAGAACTTACGATGGCGGATGAAAAGAGGAACGTCTCGTCCCCGAGTACTTGTCTTTGAGTCCACGTTAGGAGCGCCAAAAGGTGGGAGTTGGCTGAAAGGGGAATCGAATCGGTGCGTCGAATGATATCGGCGACAGCCCCTTGACCTGGAGTGATGTAGATGAATGGATAAATGGACGGAGCAGATATTGTGATCAATATTTGGGAAACCGTCTCCCATGAAGTCGGGCCTAGTTATGGTTCAATCACAACGCCAAAATCCAGCTGGTTAAGGAGACGTACAAATTGTGATCGTCGTGGTGGCGTCTGCACCAGGGCTGAGCGAGCAATCAAACTGGATGCCTGCCGATATCGCCGAAACCGTTGCGGTAAAATTTTGGGCTGTACCGGTAGTTTCCCAATAGGACGACTGACCGACTAGAAATGAGATGCTCCACCCCGTCAAATTAGGATACCACGGACCATTATAATAACCGGATTCGACGTGGGCATATGCACAGCGACGTCGTCTATGATTCGAGTGAAGACTTGAGCATTTAGCGGAAGGACTATGACGGTGTAGATCGCGAAGATGGGTAGCCCCACAAATACTCCACTAAGCAATAAGGCTCGTAAAATGATTATTGCGAGGAACTCTCCTCTGTCCCAGTTAGTCAATCAGTCGGCCCGTATGATATTATACTTACCTGACAAGCGGCCGTCCAAGCGACCGATTTAACAGTATTCGCCATACCGTATAGGGTGGATTGGCTGGTGAGCAGCCACCAAAAAAGGCGAATTGTTGATGCCAGAATCTTCGAGGGGATGCTAGGACGGTGGCCATTCGAAACCCCATGGAGGCGGTGAGTGGAATGAGAAGCCAAATTGTAAGTGGAATCCTTGCTAGGTCTGACAAGAATGCAACCGCTGTGGACAGATTATATGATCAAAGACATTCCCAGATGGAACTGAATACATTTACCAGCGATTTCGGCGATAGTGAAAAGCCAGTCTACCAGGGTCATAGCCATGCCGAATTGGAGCGGGAGGATCCTGTAAATACCGGTTGGCGATGAGAGACATGAGGAAAGTTTGCGGCATACATAAATAGATGATGGAAAATCACCACGGAGCACGTCGCAATCATCCAGGAATCTCGGCTAAGCCACCACTGCTGGCCTGCCGAGTGTTCCATTCGAACTATATTGGCAGAAAATATGATCATCCCCAAGCTCGCCAGAATCAGGAAGCGGAAATTATACACCCTGGCCGTAGGATTGAACAAAAGGTGCATCGGGGGAGAAGCTGCGGTGAGAATGTCAAGGAGCACGACGCAAGTCGATCTTTATAACATCCTATAAATATGAGTGCGGCAAAAAATCTGACACTTACTAAAGATGGGATCATTGAAGCAGATTGTCTCGTGAGCAGGCTGCAGTTCTGACCGGAAGAGGAGAAACCGATTGACTCGAAAAATGGGAACACGGAGTTTCTGGAGAAACGTAATGGGACTGCTAGGGACTGCTCCAGATGCTGGGCCGGTGTAGTGGGCAAGTGACTGTGATAAAGGCTCGGTTATGGTGTTTGTGGGATCCTAAAACCTGAGACCCTTCCACTGCAAACATCGGCAGGCAAATGTGACCTGTCGCGGGCAGTGGGCAAAGCAGTATCGTGGATACTGCCTTGGTCATATGGCATCATTTAATTAGATAGCTTCGGGTAGGTCAGAGCCCAAATATCCTTATCAGATCAATCCGGAGAAGTGTGATAAGAGCACGGGGGCCACCATTTATTTAAAGCAAGGGAGATTTTCAAGACTTGGGTCTGATTGACTCTGTTTGGGACTATTCCGTTATGTTCCCACTCCTCATGTTGCAGCATGTCAGTAGGGATATATATAGTGCCTATCAGCCTGCAATTCCGCTCAACAAAAAGCATGCTGAGGTGTCCGCAACAGCAGGATGTAAAGTGTTTGATGATTGCTGGAAAATTTGTAGACGGTCCGCATTATGCAACTCGGACCTGGAGGGTGCATATAAAACAAAGGCAACAAATGTTGTGATCTTATCTGATGGATCAGTGCCGTATTCAGTATCTATCATAATCTAATCGTGCCCCGCTGTTGCCGCATGGGAGGGATATGATAAAAGCAGCTACAATGCCACCGCCTTGCAATTGTCTGCTTGCCTTCCCCTTTGCTTGCGGTGTTTCTTCTCCCCCTCATCTTCATCCCGCAATAACTCGGACTTTCCCCTATCTTTTCAGGCCCTTTTACCTCCAATGGGACTAGAATCAGAAACCGGGGGGAAAGTCAAAGAAGTGGGTGCGGAAACCCTCGGTGCTAACACCAACAATTTCGCATACGCACTGACTGTCCAGGCACTGGAAGAGGCCCAGCATGCCTTATCTACTGCGCGCGCCATTTTAAGATCCCCCATGATCCTCGTCACTGTCGCCGAGAAGCAAGCCGATGCGCTCAGAGCCGAGATTACGACTTTGAAGGAAACCACTGCACAAGCTCGAGAATTTGCCAACAACCTCTCGAAGGAGCGAGATCTGGTGCAGAGTAACTTTGATACAAAGGTCCGTGAGATGGCGGAGGCACACGCTCGGCAATATGCAGAGCTACAAGGGTCTACTGCAAGAGAGCGGGAAGCTCTCAAAGTCGGACAGGAGGCCTTAGTCGCCCATCGCGCCGCATTCGAGGCAGAAAAGGCCGCTGCGGAAAAGGCCATGCACAATGTCCGCACGTCCATTGTGCAAAATCTCCGCAACATAATCCAAAGTATCCAGCTCAATCCTTTTCCCATGGGTACTGGTACCACGAGCTTAATTGCCGCGAGCGGAATCACAGGTCCTTGTATGCCGGAGCCTCGTATGATCAGTGAGTCGTCATCCCAAAGAAATGCATGCCGAGCTCACCTGCCTTTACCAGACCCCTCCGATTCGACCATACCTATGTGCCGCAGCGCTGACCAGGAAACGGGTGAGCGATTTTCTGCGATCAAGTCCTGATCTCACGTCCCTCAAGTCGATGAATCAAGCCCCCGCAAACGTGCAAGAACGGAATCTTCAACACCCACCAATTCTCCATCTGCGATAAACACCGTTGTTCCAGGAATGACCAGAAATGAATCAGGTGCATTTACATCTCCATCCCGTCTCCGTCCCTCAATTTAATATTGTGTAACAGCGGCCGCGTCCACATCTCAATCCATTCAAACCTTACCTCGAATTGAATCTTGTATGTTCCTTCCTATGCGACGAGGATTTATCTAATATATCTTTACCAGCTCCTGCGGCCGCACCTACAGTGATGCCGACACTCGTCACAACCCCTCGTGTGTCTCCTAGTGAGTCCCATTAATCGACCAGCAGGTCTAAGCTCATGCAGTAGTAGTGTCTCCAGCCCCGCTGAGAAATGGATCGTCCACCGCATTCACGAAAGCAAAGCACTCCACTCCGCAGTGCGGGCGTCCATCTGGTGGTCCTCCACAGAGAGGTGCCCATCCCTCGCACCATAGTTCATTCAGGCAGTCGCGACGTGACCAATCCTGGGCACCGCCGCAGACATCTCCTGGTCGCCCCGCTCCACAGCACCATTCTCGCCGATGACGGGATCTTTCAATTTACCGATTGTCTGTTTCGGACTTGCCTTCTGGTATCGCCCATTTCACATATTATTATGATTGTTTTTTCAAAGAACCTTCCTTCCCACGAGCCCAGCAGATTTTGCTGGGTCTATGCCCTGAGAAGCTGTATCACGGGTGTACTCGTGCTGTATCGAACATTTTCCTTGTCGCCTCTACATCTTTTCCTTCCTTTCCTACGTAGCACAGTTTTCGAAATGATTACTATAATCACGGGTTTGATCCAAGATTACAGTCTCGGCGCCCTCGGATTAAGGAATCCTCTCCCAAAGCTGATTCTAGCGCTTCGGATTCATCGACGACGCAAATCGCATTCGGCATTCGCCGCGAGTTATTTAAAAAAAACTGAACTATGCACAACTATTGTCCCACCCCCGAGTCGAACGGGACCCTTCTGCTAAATTCAGGCAAAGAGCGTGGCGTTTTATGAAGAGCAGACATGCACCGCGCACCAGCAGGACTTGGTTCCTTGGTTCTGACCTGCTTCACATGCACCATGATTTACGCCAGTGTGGTGGAGCATTTAAACTCGTTATATTCATCCATTCCGACCATTTATTCATTCAAACACATTAAATGCCGACGCCCCTGCGTTGCGATAACCGAGAACCGACCGTTTGTAATCTAGGAAGCGGCCCGCGTCCTATCCGCAATGAGGAGAGTCCTCGCTGCGGGCTAGATTGTGGACTCCTTTAAATTGGATGTCGCTAGACTGTGTCGGCGGCGGCGGCGGGGCTCGGGGCCGTAGTCGCGGCGGCAGGCGCGGAGGCGGGGCTCGGGGCCGTAGTCGCGGCGGCAGGCGCGGAGGCGGCAAGAGCAGGCGCGGAGGCGGCGGGAGCAGGCGCGGAGGCGGCGGGAGCAGGCGCGGAGGCGGCGGGAGCAGGCGCGGAGGCGGCGGGAGCAGGCGCAGAGGTGGCGGGAGCAGGCGCGGCGGCAGTAGCAGCAGGCGTAGGCGCGGGGGCGGCTGAGGCAGCAAGCGCGGGGGTGGGGGCGGCAGGCGTAGGTGTAGCGGCGGTACGCTTAGGGATGGTAGGTGCTCGTGTAGGGCATTTGCTCATGTTATGGCCCTGGAGAGCGGGTTAGCGATTGTGTGGATCAAAGGCCCAGACGCAGTTGCATGGCTCGGAGGCCCAGACATCAGGATGGAGAAGAAGACGAGACGCACTTCTTGCTTGCACGCGTAGCACGTCGGCGGCTTGGTGCAGTCCTTCACCGAGTGTCCCTCCTCGTTGCACCGGAAACTGTATCATGATCAGAAATAAAATCAAAGGGGAAAGAAGAAACGCGAGTGAGTAACGACGACACAGCAAAGAGGAAGTATGGATGAGGACGCACCACCGCAGGGGCGCGGCTCTGAGCGCCTCGAGCCGCGCGGGGTCGGGGGAAGGGCAGTCGCGGCGCTGCGGGGGCGGTGAGTTGGTTTTAAAGGCGTGGATGATACGGGATGGATGCATGAATGCACACCTGGTGTCCCTCCACACCGCAGGCGACGCAGACCGTCGGCTCCTTGCAATCCGAGCGCGAGTGCCCTTCGCGCCAGCCTGCATCCGCCGGACCCGGTCAGTACGGTTATAACACCGTTGAGGCACGTACAGTTCAAGCTGAATGAGGGGAGTTACTCAGCCTTAGCAGGATGGAGGAAAGGTGCATGAAAAAGACGGACCAGACATTGGATCGCAAGCGGAAGGGCGCCGCCCGCGCGGCGGTGGAGGAAAGGGCACGGAGGGGTGTGCAGAGGGAGTACGAGGAAAGGGGGGGCGGAGGGCGGGTGGAAAGGCGCAGGAGGGGCAAGGCGCGGAGGCGGAGCAGCGAGAGCATGGTGGTCGTGCAAAAAGAGGGTCACGTCACGGTCACGCACGACACCGCGATCACATGGGCGGACAGAGTTGCGTCGCGTAATGCAGCATCTTCTCCTCTGCGAATTAAGCTACTGAAATGGGGGTTTGTGAGTGAAAGTGCTTGGGTAATAAAGTAACAAGTTCATGGTGTAGTTTCACCCAGCGATATATGAAAAATATTCACTACCGAAAAAGGTAATGATTTCCAACTGATCTCCCACCCCCAGATCGAACGGTGTTCTTCCGCAATAATAAAGCACTGTATACGGATCCCTAAGCTTGAGCGGATGTGCGCCGTGCTCCAGCGGGACTCTTTCTCTGATCTGCGGCATTATCTGCGGCATTATCTCCCTTCTGTTGACCACACATTATATCCCTTAACCCGACCTGGCATTATATCCCTTACTTTAACCCGACATAATACCATCGTCAGTCGGGGCGCGCGCGTGTTGAAAAAGGTAGCAAATCTTACGCATCTTCCACCCCCGAGTCGAACGGGGTTCTTCCCACCTATAAAGCATACATGCATAGCCTGAGCTTGAGCGGACGTTCACCCTGCATCAGCAGGAATCCTTGGACACGCATTATATCCCTGAAGTTGACCCCGCATTATACACCGTCGAGTGGCACGCGGTCGTGTCGAAAAAATGAGTCTTTCCATTGCATGTTCCACTCCCGAGCCGAACGGGTCCTTTTGCTAAATTCAGGCTATGAACGTAAAGGTAGACGTGCGCCACGCACCAGCAGGACTTGATTCTTTGCTTCTGGCCTGCTTCCTGCCAGGATTTACCCAGTTCTTAGAGCGTACCTTGAGTTGAATTCCCGGGTTTCATCCAAGATTCGTCTCAACGCCCCTTCAGCGCTTCGCATTCATCGAAGGTATATTCGTGAGTCGTTGAAAGGAAGAAAATGCCAGAAATGGTCATTACATCTCCCGCCCCCGACTCGAATAGGGTCCTTCCACTGACACCCAAGGTTTTACAACGTTAGATTGAGAAGATGTGCACCGCGCACCAGCCGGACTTTTCACAAATTATAACAACACTCGAGCACGGGGCTGGTTCGCGTTATATCTATATAAAACGCGTCGGCCTGACCGATAACCCCCCCCTGTATCAAACGGGATCCTTGCGCTTTGCCGACAATGATTGTCGACGGAAGTTGGGCGGACGTGCAGTGCGTGCCAACGGGACTTATTCCGGAATTTGGCCATGGTATTGAGCTCGTAACAAGAAAACTGGGAAGATTTTTTTATGTCTCGCTGCCATTCTTCCGTTGAGCCATCTGAAGCAGAGGTGCACCATGAAACAGCGGACTTATACCCTCAGTCTAAACCCACGCCTTCACTGATTCGAGTAGTAAAAATAAGAGGACAATATCTGAAGTCCCGCCCCCGAGTCGAACGGGGTCCTTCCGCTTCACGATGTTTGGTCGATTTTGATCTACAAATGCAGGGCGGATGTGGACCGTGCACAGCGGGACTTGTTCTCTTACTTTGGGCACGAAATATATCCCCTTGCATTCGAACTCTGGGGTACCATAAATAACCCAAGCGATGCGTACATGTCCCACACCCGGGTCCTTCCACTTCACAGAATGCACAGCGTACGAATGAAGAGCGGATGTGCACCGTGCACCAGTGGGACTGGTTCCTTTACTTTAGCCACGAAATATACCATTTTGCATTCGGAACTCCGGGCTGCTTCAGAAAAACGTCGCAGAGCTCAAACTATGTCCCACGCCCGAGTCGAACGGTATATCACCTCGTTCGAACTCTGGGGCTTCTTCATAAACAAGTTGCTGAGTTCAACTATGTCCCACCCCCGAGTCGAACGGGGTTCTTCCGCATTAATAAAGTACACGGAGAGATATCTCAGTTTGAGTGGACGTGCACCGTGCACCAGTGGAACTCTTTCCTTGCGTTGACCACGCAGTATATCCCTTATTTGACCTGGTCGATTGGTGCGCAAAAAGGTAGTCAAAGATTCCAACCTCAGCATGGACGGACTTGCACCGCGCACCAGCGAGACTCTTTCCCTTACTTGACTACGGGTTATATCACTTACCTTGACCTAGCAATGTATCATCGTCGGTTTACATTGGCACGCGATAGAGTTCAAAAAGGTAACTAATACCACCCTATGTCCCGCCCCCGAGTCGAACAGGGTCCTTCCGCTGACACGGTTTTATAACCTGTTTCAGGTTGGGCAGATGTGCACGCCGGACTTTATCCCTACCATTGACCACAAATTATAGCGACGTATTATTACATTCGACCGCGGCACTGGTTCGTGTTTTATATTCATAAAGACACGCGTCGGCCTCACCGATGTCCCGTCCCAAGCGACAATTATTGCCGAGGGATGTTTCGAAGGACCTGCAGTGTGTATTAATACCAATGGAACTTTTCCCTAATTTGCCGACGAGTTTGAGGTCGTAATAACAAGATTTTTATGGCCTGTTTCCAAACCAACTTCCGTTATCTGCACCCTAAACCATCGGGACTTATCCCTTCAGCCTGAGTCCTCACCACGTTCACCGATTCAAGCAAATTACTAATAAAAATCGCGGTCAACTCAGACATGTCCCACCCCCGAGTCGAACGGGGTCTTTCCGCTTCGCAATGCGCAGCGTATGAATGAAGGGCGGATGTGGACCGTGCACCCGCGGGATCATTCCTTTCCTTTGGCCAGGACGTATATCACCTTGCATTCGACCTCGGAGGCTGCTTCATAAAAAATTGTCTTGAACTCAACGATGTCCTGCCCCCGAGTCGAACGGGATTCTTCCGCTTCATAATGCGCAGCGTATGGATGAAGGGAGGATGTGGACCGTGCACCAGCGGGACTTATTCCCTTACTTTGGCTACGAAATATATCACCTTGCATTCGAGCTCTGAGGCTGCTTCATAAAAATGAACTCAACCATCTCCGACCCCTGACACACCCAACAAAGAAAAATATCGACATATGTCAAAATCACTGCCTAGTTTATGTAAATCAGTAGCTCATTCAAAATCGATAAAAATACAATCTTTCATTCAAGCTGAAAAGCAAGATGGAAAGAGCTGCAATCAGTGGCTCTTTCGAAAACAGAGAGTTACTCACTCTCGGTGAGTTGTGAAGGGACTCCTGAAAGTTCATCTTTCAGCTTCCATTTCCAGAAAGAAGAAAGACCTTCTTTTCACACAGTTAAAACATGCATTGGAATTCTGTCTTTCCTATTTCTCTGAAATTTTTGCCCTTATATGGAAATCTTTCCTAAAAAAATGAAACAAAGAACTCCAATGCACCTTTTGACTGTGGGAGAAAGAAAATCTTTGTTCTATCTGTAAATGGCCGCTGAAAGGCAACCTTTCAGCAATCCTTTCACAACTCGCTAAGAGTGAATAAGTCACTGTTTTTCAAAAGGGCCGATGATTGCGGCTCTTTCCATCTTGCTTTTCAGATTGAATGAAAGATTGAATTTTTATCAATTTTAAATGGGCTATTGATTTACATAAACTAGGCAGTGATTTCGACATATGTCAATATTTTTCTTTGTTGGGTGTGTGAGTCGAACAGGCGTCTTCCGCCTCTCAGAAAGGAGTGTGCAAGCAATGGTGGGTAGACGTAGACCGTGCACCAGTTGGACCTGTTCCTCTGGTATTATCCCTCGTTATCCCATCCGTGAGCTCATGTTTCTGGTGTAACCAAGGGCAAACCATCGATTTGCGTTGAAAAAGGTAGTCCCCCACATTCAATTCATGTCCCACCCCCGGGTCGAAAGGGGTCTTTCCGCGTCTACGCTATCTCCCGGCCATGGGAAGCGGATGTGCACCGCGCACCAACGGGACTCTTTCCCTTACCTTGACGATACATTTTCTCTCTTAACTTGACGACACATTATATCCCTGAAGTTGACCCCGCATCATACCACTAGCGAGTAGTGCGCGGTAGAGTTCAAAAAGGTGACGACAACTTCCAACCTATGTCCCACCCCTGGATCAAACGGGGTCTTTCCGCATTCATAACGCACTGAATGAAGACCCAAGCTTGAGCGGACGTGCACCGACACTTTCCCTCACTTGAACGCGTATTTAAAAATCTCTTACCTTGACCTGGTAATGTATCATCGTTGGTCTACATTGGCGCGCGATAGAGTTCAAAAAGGTCCTTAATATTTCCAACTAATGTCCCACCCCCGAGTCGAACGAGGTTCTTCCGCATTAATAAAGCACAATTACGAAAATCCCTCAGCTTGAGCGGACGTGCACCGCGCACCAGCGGGACTCATTCCCTTACTTGACCACGCACTAGAAGTATCCCTTACCTTAACCCGGCATTACACTCGTCGATTGGCGCGCGGTCGTGTTCCAAAAGGTCATCGAGGATTTCGAATTCATGTCCCACCCCCGGAGTCGAACGGGGTCCTTCTGCTAAATTCAGGCGAAGAGCATAATGTTGAATGAAGGGCAGACGTGCACCACGCACCAGCAGGACTTGGTTCCTTCCTTCTGACCTGCTTCATAGCATAATTTCTCCAGTTGTTAGAGCGTACCTTGAGTTGAATTCCGGGGTTTGATCTGCGATTACCGTCTCGGTGCCCTCGGATTGAAGAATCCTCTCCCTAGGCTGAGTCCAGTGCTTCGCATTTATTGAAGATATATTCCGGGTTTACCGTGAGTCGTCGTTGAAAAAAAGGACGATACTATTGTCTATACATGTCTCGCCCCCAATTCGAACGGGGTCCTTCTGCGAAATTCAGGATGAACTAAAATGGAATGAAGGCAGATGTGCACCACGCACCAGCAGGACTTGGTTCCTTGCTTCTGGCGTGCTTTATAGCATGGTTTACCCAGTCCTTGGAGCGCACCTCGAGTTTAATTCCCGGGTTTAATCTGCGATTACCGTATCAACGCCCTCGGATTAAGCAGTGAAAGCCAGCACATAACATTCTTCATTCGAATACTAGGTGTACTCATCGAGTTTTCCGTGAGTTGCTGAAAAAAATTTACGAAGCACAATCATTGTCCCACCCCGAGTCGAACGGGGTCCTTCTGCGAATTTTTTCCTGAACGACAAATGACGCACCGCGCACCAACAGGACTGGGTTCCTTGGTTCCGACCTGCTTCATACCACGATTTAAGCTGGACTCATCCATTCCGACCATTTATTCATCCATAGACATCGATACGGACGTCCCTGCATGGCGATAGAGGAGAAGCGACCCTTTTTTACCCTACCAAGTGACGGGCTGCGTCCTATCCAAAATGAGGAGAGTCCTCGCTGCGGGCTAGATTGTGGACTCCTTTAAATTGGATGTCGCTAGACGGCGTCGGCGGCGGCGGGGGCGGGGCTGCAGCAGCAGGCGCGGGCGCGGGCGCGGCGGCAGCAGAGGACGCGGGGGTGGCAGGCACAGCGGAGGCAGGGGTGGCGGGGGGTGCAGCAGCAGCAGCAGTAGGCTCAGGCGTGGGCGCAGGCGCGGGGGCAGCAGCAGGCGCAGGCGCGGGCGCGGGGGCGGCAGCAGCAGCAGCAGAAGGCGTAGGCGCGGGGGCGGTAGCAGCAGGCGCGGGGGTGGAAGGCGTAGGCGCGGGGGCAGCGGCGGTAAGGGCCGGGAAGGTACGCTTAGGGTGGCGGGTGCTCGTGTAGGGCATTTGCTCATGTTATGGCCCAGGAGGGCGGGTTAGCGCTTGCATGGATCGGAAAACCAGACACAGTTGCATGGAAAGGAGGACAAGACGCACCTCCTGCTTGCACGCGTAGCACGTCGGCGGCTTGGTGCAGTCCTTCACCGAGTGTCCCTCCTCGTTGCACCGGAAGCTGTAGGGCACGGAAGGGAGGACGAGGAAAGGGGAGCCGGGGCGCGGGTGGAAAGGCGCAGGAGGGGCAAGGCGCGGAGACGGAGCAGCGACTCCAGCGAGAGCATGTGGTCGTAAAAAAGAGGTCACGTCACGGTCACGCATGGCACCGCGATCACATGGGCGGACGGAGTCGCGTCGCGTGAGTAATGCAACATCTTCTCTACTAATTAAGCTCCTGGTGTGGGGTAACTTGGGTAACGAGGGATGTTTAGACGGACATGCAGTGCGGACAAGCGGAACTCGGAGGCTGCTTCATAAAAATGTGTTCAACTCAGCCATGTCCCACCCCCGAGTCAAACGGAGTTCGTCTGCGAAATTTAGCCCTTTTGAATGACAAATGAAGGCAGACGTGCACCGCGCACCAGCCAGACTTTATCCCTGGCGTTGACCACAAATTATAGCAACGTGCATTCGAGCACGATATATATAAAGAAATGCGCCGGCCTCATCGATCTCCTGCCCCCGTATCAAATGGGATCCTTATGCATTCTCTAGGAATGCTAAACAAACGTGCATACAGCGGGACTTAATCCGCAATTTGACCACGGTTTTCAGGTCGGAATAACGAGAAAACTGGACAAATTTTTCATGTCGCGCCCCCATTCTTTTCTTTACACCGCTTAAAACGAACTTCCGGCATCTGAAGCAGAGGTGCACCATGAACGAGCGGGACTCGTCGCCAGCCTGAGCCCACGCCATGTTCACTGACTCGAGGAATAAAAACTACACAGCAATACGCAGAAGAGTCCCGCCCCCGAGTCGAACGGGGTCCTTCCGCTTCACAGAATGCGTAGCCTACAAATGAAAGGCGGATGTGCGTCGTGCACCAGCGGGACTTATTCCTTTACTTTAGCCACGATATATCACCTTGCATTCGAACTCGGAGGCTGCTTCATAAAAAATACGCAGAACTCAAATCATGTCCCACCCCCGAGTCGAACGGGGTCTTCCGCTTCGGAATGCGTAGCGTATGGGAATGAAGGGCGGATGTGGATCGTGCGCCAGCGGGACTTATTCCCTTACTTTGGGCACGAAATATACCACCTTGCATTCGAACTCGGAGGCTGCTTCATAAAACCGTCGCTGAACTCTCCCATGTCCCGCCCCCGAGTCGAGCGGGGTCCTTCCGCTTCACATAATGGAATTTCTGACAAATGGTGGGTGGATGTGCGCCGTGCACCAGCGGGACTTACTCTCTTACTTTGGGCACGAAATATACCACCTTGCATTTGAACTCGGAGGCTGCTTCATAAAAAATTGGGTTGAACTCAGCGATGTCCCACCCCCGAGTCGAACGGGGTCTTCCGCTTCCCAGATTGCGTTGCCTACGAATGAAGGGCGGGATGTGCACCGTGCACCGCCGGGACTTATTCTCTTACTTTAGCTACGAAATATAGCACTTTGCATTCGACCTCTGGTGCTCCTTCATAAAAACGTCGCTGAACTCAACTATGTCCCGCTCCCGAGTCGAACGGGGTCCTTCCGCTTCACATAATGGAATTTCTGACAAATGGTGGGTGGATGTGCGCCGTGCACCAGCGGGACTTATTCCCTTACTTTGGTCACGAAATATATCACCTCGGAGGCTGCTTCATAAAAAATTGGGTTGAACTCAGCGATCTCCCACCCCCGAGTCGAACGGGGTCTTCCGCTTCCCAGAATGCGTTGCCTACGAATGAAGGGCGGGATGTGCACCGTGCACCGCCGGGACTTATTCTCTTACTTTAGCTACGAAATATAGCACTTTGCATTCGAACTCGGAGGCTACTTCATAAAAAGTGGCTGAATTCAAAGTATGTCCCGCCCAGAGTCGAACGGGGTCTTCCGCCTCACAGAAGGGAATTTCTGACCAATGGTGTGTGGAGGTGGACCATACACCAGCGGGACTTTTTCCTCTCCTATGATCTCTCATTATCCCGTTATCATCTGCGGGCTCATGTTTCTGGAGTAACCAAAGGCTACACCATCGATTATTGCGTTGAAAAGGTATTCAATTCACCCGGATCGAACGGGGTCCGTCCGTATGAACATAGCACAGGACCTCAGCTTGAGCGGACGTGCACCGCGCACCAGTGGGACTTTGCTCTCACATTGACGACGCATTATCTCCCTTAATTGGCCACCCTTTATATCCATTAACTCGACCCGGCATTATACAATCGTAGATTGGCACACAAAACAATGCAAAGGCAGAACTGAAGGAAGGTATTCTTCGACTCGCTGCCCCACACAATACGTCCCATCTCCACTTCAGCCGTCTCTGGCTCGGCGAACGGGGGAGCAGTGCATCGTTTGGTGCGGAATCCTCGTCAGCACGGATTTTCCCTTTCCACGCTCCACTCCACCCGCGACTCCATCCACCCCGCCCTCTGTCACTTCCACGGCCTCTTTCGCCGCCTCTGTGTGCTGCGCCGCCCCGGGCACGCCCTCCCCAAGTGGCCGGGTGCGGCTCGCGGTGGTCAGCCTGCTGCGTCTCTTCCCGACGGCGTGGCATCGATCCTCCCGGGGCCGGTGGTGGAAGGCTCGGCGACGATTCGGCATCTTGGTAAGCGCGCCCATGGCCTCTTTCTGGCGACGCTGAGTGGTTATGTTTGACCTAAAAAAGAATCTCTTAGAAGCGGAAAGCTGAGCCCCCCCCCCCACCGTCCCGCCCCCAATCGCAGAGAGATCGCACTTTAAATTCAACATAATGAATGGGATTTTCACACATCCTCATCGCCTTCATTTAGAGATACAGATTCGAATAAGTTGAAAAGTACAAATTGCGCATTACTCTATTGGGATATAGACAATCGGACCATGGGTCCTAGAAGCGCACGCACATCCATGTCTCGACAATACAAGTACAAAATCCTTCCCGAGACCATCCTTCCCGAGACCGAGGCAGCTCCAGCCACTAGCTAAGGGTTGTCAATATTTTGGACTTCACGAGCGACTGCTGGCTCACGTTATTCAGTCCAATAATGCTGCCAAAACTGCATCGAACCAGGCACGGCCGCGGGATGCAGTCCCTCCTTCGTCACCGGACGTGTCTTGATTGTCGAATCGTTGGATCTACCAAGGCATCTTGAGAAACAAGCAGAATAATAAGACAGTACAATCACATACCGTGAGATCTAGCTCCTGACACAATACCTCCACATGGCGCTTACACCGCCGAGCGCGCTTGCACAAAGACAATCCCACACGTGCGTATGAGAGTGGAGCAGCCAAATGGGCGTAGTGATCATCGACCAGTATATCGCGAATGCGTTTAAACCTGCCAACGGGTAAATCAACGAAGGGTCAAGATGAAAAAAAGCAGAGCTAACTTACTCCTCAAGTCCACGAAGTCCGTAAGTCGAGAGGTTATACATCTCGAGCGTCCTGCGACGCGCCGCTTCGTCATGCAAACACGTTTTCATTGCCTCAATCCGCGTCAACGTATCATGCAAAATTCGACCAGGCCAGACAGCGGGCAATAAGGCAAGATAGAGCCCGTAGGTGAGCAGCGCGATGATGGAGAAAACGAAGGTGAGGACAGGGTTGCTCATGAGTCCGAGGAGATGAACGCAGAGATGGGTGAAGAGGGTCAGGAAGAGAGCCATGGCTCACGATGGGCAAGGCCTCCCCGGGCTTTTATAAGAAAATTGTGAACAGCCTTGCATGCGGAACCTGACAGTGACAATGGGGTGTCGGGGAACTTACGAAAGTCGTACGGAGGGTTTTCATTCCTGTTATGGAAAGGAAACTGGGTTGGTATCCCATCTTTGGCAACAGGTCTTTCTGATTCCTAGCCACGTCAAAGTAAAATCGCCGATTGTAAAAGTGTCTACTGTTGGAAGCTGTGGACGTATATCCATTGATGATACAGATTCAGGTTGAACTGCCGTTTTCGGTTACAGAACCCAGGTTGAAGTGCCGGTTATGGTACGGCGCTCCACAGATAGACGCATTGATTAACGTGACCACTCCAGTAAATATCCATATGTAGCTGGAAACCGCCATTGCGGTGCTTCTATGCCCCGACGACAGATAGGCGCCTTGATTAACGCGACCATTGCGCGTCGGTCCACATCCAGTAAATATCCTTATATAGCTAGAAGAAAGAACCGCCATTGCGGTGCTTCTATGCCCCCAACAACAGATGGACACCTTGATTAACGTGGCCATTGCGGGTCGGTCCACATCCAGTAAATATCCTTATATAGCTAGAAGAAAGAGCCGCCATTGCTGTGCTTCTATACCCCCAACAACAGATGGACACCTTGATTAACGTGGCCATTGCGGGACGGTCCACATCCAGTAAATATCCTTATGTAGCTGGAAAGAACCGCCATTGTGGTGCTTGTATGCTCCCTATGCTGGGATTCTGTGGCAGTGGCGCAAAAGCGGATTAAATTGAAATTGAAATAGCCACAATCATCAACGTAGCGTCTTCTGTGATATCCCCTGGAATGGTGTGTGCTCCATTGACATCTTGTAGATCTATGTAAGAATATGGTTCAGGCTGTGGAACATGGGAGTATAATATACCCCCCCCCACGGCAGTTGTTGGCACACTGGCTGATCTCATGTTTAACTGCCATAGGGTACATCGCCAGGGTGGGTAGATCCGCAAGCATCCAAACCACGCCGGGATTCATCCACGCACGAATGGGTAAATTGGAATAGAAATACCCACGGTTGCAACGCGCCCATGAGCCGGCGAGCCTTTCGAGATCATATTTCATCGTGATGTTCCGCCAGAGAAGCCAAACCTCTGTCCGCATGTATGCAATGAAGGCACAGGGGGCTGGGCATTGATCTTCAGCAAGTGCTTTTTAATTTTCCTTACAAAATCCGACCGTCTTGCTCGATATAAGTACTGTTGGATGGCATTATATTTGGTGTTATTTGGTGCCGAATTCGAAGGCGCGACAGTCACATGACACGAAGCGAAGGAATTTTACTGGTCGGAAGGAAAAAAGAGTCGCAAGGCTATAATTCCAGTAAAAGTTTCTTTATGAGTCACAGCCTGTTTCCACGGTTTCACATGGTAGAGCATACTTTACGGAAGTCGGCCACGCCGAAGATGGAGCTAACGTGTAATTTTTTCTTTTTACTAGGTTTCATTTTGCCGGAATAACACCAAACCTACCATCTTCAACCTGAGAATCATCGTCGGATACTTGCTCTGAAAATTCTCTGTTCCTATGGTGCCCAGTGATCAACCTTGTGAACAGATTCGACTCAGGCTGCAAAAAGAGGATATCCTCATTCGTCGCCGGTCAGCAGACTGGCCTCTTGTTGCGACCTTCAACATCTCCCACTCTCTGTAGGGAACAAAGTTAGGAAGGAAGACGACAGGTATCCTACAGCCTGAGGCACTGCATGATGCCGTTTGAGTCCCTTCGCGATCTGTATGGGCGATATACTGTGCAAAAATTACTGAAATTTTGCAGGGTTTTCTCAGACAACTTACAGCGCTTTGCATAAGTCCGTGAAACTCGAAATTTTTTGCGCGCCATCACGTGCACGATGCCGAGTGCTGCCGAGGATTCAGACGTCTCGAAAATTCATTTATTAGAAGCAATCTCCATGTTTAGAATATGAAAGACTTATTCAGAGCCCCTTCGGGCATCCCGAATCCAATGTGAGTCCAGTATTCGACCCAATTGCAACCTGGCACCTCCGGCATTGGTCGGCATTCCCATCAAAAACTGCACGTGATGGCGCGCAAAAAATTTCGAGTTTCACGGACTTATGCAAAACGCTGTACTTCAAAATCGAGCACTTTTGGTTACATCTTTCTGTGTTGGTCGCATCTTCATCCTTGGCTTACAACTACGAACAGCTCACATCTCTACCAAAGTTGCATGTGTTTGGATTTGATCCGCATCAATTTGGCTATTCGGCGGTCTGCTCCATGTCCAGCATTTTTAACAATCTCAATGAGACTTCGTTCGTCGAAATTGATGGTAATGATCGGAATTTTGATTTCGATCCCATGCCGGGATCTTGCCGGGATCCATAAAGGGAAGTTAATCTATTTTATGACAATCCGACGCCGAGAGCACCTGGAATTCATCCCAAACAATGTAATATGGTTATTTGAACACATAGAATAACCATCGAAGAGGGCCTGTGCATTTGAGTCATGCCAGAAATAAATACAAGATCAGTAGCCTGGAAACAGCCATTTCTGCGCAGTTCATGCATGTTTATGGATACTCTGCCATAGAATAACCGGATCCAATCCTAAGGACCTATAAAGGTCCATCCGATGCGTCTCAGTATCCACATACCTTCCTGAGTTCAAGTTTATTGAATGGCCGCTGAGTTGAACTGATTGGATCAATAGTGATGATCAATTCTTAAGATGTAACCAATTATCGAGATGTAACCAACCAAAAGAGATGTTAGCTGCGTCGAAGTTGTCAGCCAGAATTGTGAGATGTCACCCAAATGCATAAATCACCTTGTAACCTGTCTTCAAAAACCCTGTAAAATGTCCCTAATTTTTGCACACTATATCGCTCATACACACTGCTTGAACATTTCGAGTTTTTCGGTGAAAATTTTGGTGAAAAATGTTTTGAGTTTTACAGTAGTTTTTGAGCAAATAATTAGGTGAAAAACTTGAAACCGTTTCCTGATTTATTTGAATGTTGTGAAAATGTGGTGAAAAAAGTGCTGAAACAGTCTTGAAGTTCAAAAAATTCATGAAGAAGTTTCAAGTTTTTCACAAGCATTTTCACTGGAAAACTTGTGTAAAATCCAAAACATTTTTCACCAATGTTTTCACTGAAAAACTTAAAATGCTCAAGCAGTGACAGATTCAGTAACCTCATTGGACATCAACTCCACCAGAACAGTTTTCAGGAGCTGTATATGTTCAAAAATTACAGCTTACAACTTCTTAATGGGTTGAACCTTCCCAGTGCAACTTGAGTTGGCCGCAACTTTTTTGGAGTACAACCTGACCTGCTCTTACAAAACAACTTTGGTTTTGTAAGTACAGCAGAGTTTGTTGTAATATCCAGTAAATGTCCAGAATTTTAGAATTGATGGGAGCTTGTGGATGTGGATGTGAGGGGGTCTCGGCTTTGAATGGGAAATGATCTGGGAGAAGACACTTCAGAGACTCAGGTAAGGAGACTAAGTGCCATAGTGCTTATTCACTGCGTTGTAAATTCTTTCCCCAAGGCCCTCAGGCATCTGGTGCAGGCTAAAGCTTACCCAATAAGATCTGGGAATTAGTATGTGCAAGGCGAAGATTTTAAGGAAAACATTGAACAGGGTTGAGAACCAATGAGATCATAATCTTTCAACTAGTTCAACACTGAATATTTGGATAGAACTGGTCTGTGGATAGGGAGATGTTTGGAATATCCCTCACCTATTCTATTTCCCTCACGAAATATTACTCTTGCCTTGAGAGAAAAATTAACTGCCAGAAACAGAATTAGACTGTCTTGCGGTGGAGCCCGTGGAGTATTATAATAATTGGATTGATCGACCATCAACTTGTTGCTGTTTCGCTCAACTATCTTGATTGTTGGCCTACGGCTCGCGGGTCAGTGATGGGGTACATTCACTACATTTTGATGGCCCCTCGGCCAACCTGTGCGATGTCGGCTGAGGTTGGCCGAGGTTGGCCCAGGGGCCTCGACCGAGTTGGCCGATCTCCGACATCACATCGGCCAACTCGGTCGAGGCCCCTCGGCCAACCTCGGCCAACCTCAGCCGACATCGCACAGGTTGGCCGAGGGGCCATCAAAATGTAGTGATTCCTTTTTCTGCCTATTATAAAGTTCAAAGTTGTGACTGAATGCAGCCGAAGTTTCCACAGACAGGTGTCAAGGTTGTTTGCTGCCCAAACTTCGGTTGTCTCTTGCATGAAAAGCCTTCATTAAAGTTGCATTTTCAAAAGTTGTAACTTTGCAAGTCGCTCTAGCCTCAGTTGGAAATTGTCAGCAAGGAATTCAGGTTGTGCTTACCTTGAAGTTGTGATTTTCCCAAGTTGTCTCAATTTTGAACCACATTATGAAAGTTGACTTTGTTTTCCAGCGCCGAACATGTAAATACTTTTTGCAGCCTATGTTTGCCATACCTTAACCCCATTAAACTGGTCGATTGGCTTGCGGTCATGTTGAAAAAGTTGATCCACCCGCGATTCGAGCGGGGTCTTTCCCCCACCCATAAAGTACATATCTGAGCTTGAACGAACGTGCATCACGGACTCTTTCTCTTACCGTGACCACGCATTATATCCCTTAAGTAAGACTTGACCCGCATTACACCATTGTCTATTTCGACCGGCGCGCGGTCGAGTTGAAAAAAAGGTTGATATTTGCAATGCATGTGCCACCCCCGAGTCGAACGGAGTCCTTCCGCAACAACAAAGCACCGGTACGAACATTCGAGTGTCAGGGGACGTGCACCGCGCACCAGCAGGACTCGCTGCCTTACCTAGACCACTTATTATATCCTTTACTTGCCCCCGCGTTACACCAGCGTCGATCAGTGTACGGTCGAGTTTAAAAAGGGATGTTTTCGAGAACCCACATGTCCCACCCCCGAGTCGAACGGGGTCCTTCCGCATCAACAAAGAACAATACCTCAGCTTGAACGGACGTGCATCACGCACCAGTGGGACTCATTCCCTTAGCTTGGCCCAGCAAATGGCATGCGGTCGTGTTGAAAAAGTTAGGATTACCAACCCCTATGTCCCACCCCCGGATCGAACGGGACTCCTCCGCAATCATAAAGCACAGCTACGAAGACCTAAGCTTGAGCGGACGTGCACCGCGCACCAGCGGGACTCTTTCCCTTACCTTGACCACACATCATATCCCCTGCTTGACCATGCATTATATTTCTTAAAGCATTATACTGGTCGACAGGTGCGCGGTTGAGTTGAAAAAAGGTATGTAGTCACTATTACCAACTACGTCCCACCCCCGGATCGAACGGGGTTCTTCCGCATTAACAAGGCGCACAGCAGTGTTTGAGCTTGAGCGGATGTGCACCGTGCACCGGCGGGACTTGTTCCCTTCCTTAGGCCACGAATATATCTTACCTCTTCATAGACGAAGCGCACTCTATTGGTGCCCTGGGTCCGAATGGTCGCGGTATCGCTGATTATTTCACTTTGCATTCGAGCACGGGCTGATTCGTGTTATATATATATAAAGACACGCGCCGGCCTCAACAATTTCCTGTCCTCGTATAGAACGGGATCCTTGCGTGTTGGCAATAATAATTGTCAAGGATGTTTAGATGGACATGCATAACCAGCGGGACTTATTCCGTAATCTGGCCACGGTTTTGAGGTAACAACCAGAAAACCGGACATATTCCTTTCACGTCCCGCTCCCATTCTTGCCTCGACACAGCTCAAAACCAATTTGCGCCCTCTGAAGCGGAGGCGCACCATGAAGCAGCGAGACTCATCCACTCAGTTTCAGCCTACGGATTGAAGCAATAAAAATCGCACAGCAGTGGCATATGTCCCGCCCCCGAGTCGAACGGGGTTCTTCCGCTTAAAAATGCCTTATTTACGAATGAAGGGCGGATGTGGACCGTGCACCAGCGGGACTTATTCCCTTACTTTGGCCACGAAATATGTTACCTTGTATTCGAACTCGGGGCTGCTTCGCCTGTACCATGAAGAAATCCGCAGAACTCAACCATCTCCCACCCCCGAGTCGAACGGGAATTTCTAACCCATGGTGGGGGCAGCACCAGCAGGACCTGTTCCTCTGAACTCGTTATCCCATCATCATCCGCGGGCTCATTCTTTTGGTGTAACCAAGGACTACATCATCGATTACTACGTAGTCTAGTATCTTCTATTCATGTCTCACCCCCCGAGTCGGACGCGTTCTTCTGCATTCATAAAGCAGGAGCAATAGAGCTTGAGTGGCGGTGCACCGCGCACCAGCAGGAGTCTTTCCGTTATCTTGATGGCGCAGTACATTGGCGCCCGGGTTGAGATCGCACTGTCGCGTAAGTAATTGCTGGAATTCGTAAGTTCGTAAATTTATCGTACAAAATCTCGCCATCGGTTCCGTATCAAGTTCAAAGCATATGTATGTGCAAAAAATCCACCTCCCCCCTCCCCTGCTTTCCAGCACTCCAAAATAACTGCTCCCTCCCGGATCAGCAGTGATCAGGCGAATCCTCCCCGGGCGGACCGTCCCACACGCAGCCCCTGCAAAAAATCTGTAATTATTCCGTTCTCCCAACAACACAATAAACGCGCACTTGGCGAGGCAGTTCGTGGGCCTTATCTGCTCCGAAGCAGTAATAGTGCACGAGCCCGCGACGGTCGTGGTGGCCGTCGTCGACGTGGTCGTAGTCGTCGGCGGCTTCGTCGTCGGGGGCGTCGTGGTTGGGGGCGTGGTCGTTGTGGTCGTGGTCGTGGTCTGTGCGCAGTCAATAAATATAATATTCAATACTCAATACTCAAATAAAATAAAATAGTGCGACACGCACGGGCGGCGGGGTAATCACGGGCGTCGACGTAGTCGTCGCGGTGCCGCCGGGGCCGGTGTATGGCGGGGCCGAGGTGGGGAGCGAGGGCGACGGCGCACAGGTCGCTACGTGTAGGCCTGCGACCAGGCTTGCGAGCCCGTCGGGGCCCATGGGGTCCACGAAGTTCGCGGGCACGCTGCCGGTGTAGGCGTTGAAGTTGTAGATCCTGCCATATGCCAAGATTCAATCAAATTCTGCTTGTGGCGAGGGACAGGAGAGGGTAGGGAAGGAAAGGTGGAAAGGAGGGACAACGCACCCGCACGGACAAACACTCGACACGTCCTTCAGACTATTAGCCGCCAGCACATTCCCCGCACCCCTCGCGAGCGCAAAGCTCTGCTGCCCGACGAACATGGGCACGCTGAACGCCGCCGCGCCCGCGGGCGCGCTGAACACCTGCGAGTGGCCGCCGGAGGTGACGGTGAGCGTGCCCGGGGCGGTGAGGAGGGTTACGACGAAGATGGAGTCGGAGAGGGATTGGTAGCCGTCGGGGCGCTGGGGGGATTTGTGTCAGTGAATCATTTGAATAGATACCCAAGGGAAGCTGCGTACGCCCTCGAAGTAGTTCCCGCTGGCGTTGTTGGCGGGGGTGTTGCTCGTCGTGTCGGTGGCGTCGCAGCTGTGCAAGTGAAATATTAACGGACAGGTTCTCCTTAGGGCAACGTATCGGCGTACTTGAGACTAGACAGCGTCGGGCGGTACCTACCCCCATACAATAATCTCGTCAGCCGACGCCGAATGTTTAAAATTTTGAGCGACGCACCAATAAATAATCTGGTCCTGCGTAATAAAGCTGTTGGGCGACGTCGCGCCCGCCTTGTACGCCGCAATGAAGGGCTTCGCCATGTCCAGCCAGGCCTGCATTTATTCATCCATCCATCCATCAATCATCATCCATTCCGCGGGGACCTCTATAATGAACTTACGTTGTGCGGCCTACGCGGGCGTCAGTATCGCTCCGAATTTGATTAAAAGGAGACACTCACATATCGTTAACCCACTTCGAAGCGCCGTCGTCCTACCACGTATTGATCAACTTTGTATAAAGGGAGAACGAGGGAGAGGAAGAGATAATGTAGGGAGACACACCTGGTGCTTGCTGCTCAGCGGGCCCACGTAGTGCGACTCGCCGTAGTCGTTCCAGGTCACGATCTCGACGAACGCGGGGCCGAGGGTGAGGATGTCGGTCCAGCGGGTGAACCAGAGGAGATCGCCGGGGAAGACCCAGTTCTTCGAGTAGGAGACCTGCGTCCAATACAACACGCATCAGTCTCAAAAATCCAAATTCGCAGAGAGCAGGACACATTTGAAGTGATAGGAGGACAAACGCACCTCCGGCCCATAATGCGTACTGAACCACGCGCTCGCAGGCGCCAAATACGGCTTGCCCGCGAGCGCGGCCTTGTAGGACGCGTCGCCCGCTGCGACGGAGATGTTGGCAGAGGGTGTCGGGGCTTTGTTCGCGCCGTTGTTGGGCCAGCCCAGCCTTTAAAAACGACATCAGTTAAACGGAGAGTGAGATGGAAAGGAGGGAGGGAGTGGGAGGGAGAAGGGAGGGACAGGGAAAAGGACGCACCAGTTGAGCGCGCCGTCGATGAGGCCGAAGTTGCCTTGGCCTGCGTGCCGTTAACCGTTAGCAGTCCCTTTCGTGGGAGGAGAAGAAAGAGGACTGCGTACCCGGGTGGAAGTTGGGCACGAACATGATGGGGATGCCCGCGGCGCTGCGCATGGCGGCCACGTCGACGCCGTCGCCTGCGAAGGAGGATACGAAGGCCTTTGAAAGTCATTAGCCAGGTTAATGAGGAGGAGGAGGGATGACTCGAAGGAGAGATTAGAGGAAATGAAGGAATTGGAAGATGGAAGTGGAATTGGAGGATTCGACGGAATCCGAGCACTCCGAGGCTTCACACAAAGCAGAGCAAGAAAGAGAAGACGCACAGCATTATTAATAAACAACTGCGCCGGCAGCGCCGCGTACCCCGCGAGGTGGGAGCCGATCTGCGCGCCTTGGGAGGTCGTCCACCCTACGCAATCCCCGTTCATTCCATCAACATACAAATCACATTAGGAAAGACCCTGAGAGACGCACAGTTGAAGTCGTATGAGATGAACACTATCGTAAAAATATTAGCATTAGAGTTGATTTAACTTGAAGGAATACAAACCTTTCATGCCATTGCGCGCGGCGGAGTCGTACGCGAAGTGTACTGCGAGCGAACAAGTAAGAATCCGACAAACGTTATAACAAGAGGAGGGGGCGTACGCTGGGTGTCGCTGCACACAGAGACGAAGTTAACATTAGAGGTGTAGATAGTGAGGGAGGGAGACGCACGTGTAGGGGTCGACTGCGTTCGCCGTTCGTCAATTGTGTACCGCACGCCCAGAAATCATTATACGAACCTCCGCTAGAACGCACGATGAGGTGAGGTGAAGTAAAAGGAAGGAAGGGTGCAGGCTTACATGTTGAGCGCGAACGCGTCGATGCCGTATCTGTTTGGTGTTTATGCGTAAGCAGACTAGAAGCTGGGGTGCGGATCAGACGCACGATTTTGCGCGTTGCATGTCCGCGTCGTACTGCATTTATAAACCGTGAGTAATGAATGGAGGAAGAGAAGATACAATGACGCACATCCGCCGAGCTCGTCCGATCGCTCTCGATTCCGATCTGCAGCAAAGTCAGTACGGAAAATGTCACCCCCATCAGACTACGCACCATGAAATGGCAGAACTGGGGTCGTTCGACGGCGTGAGCAGCACATACGGAGGTTCATTGGGCGCAGGGACGTACCACCTAGCCAGCATCGGGTCAGCGCTGCTGCTAGTAATAGAAGGTGGCTGCAGGTGCGTACCATGCGCGGGAAGCTCTGGCGCTTCTCCATCGACGCGGCGAGGGGGCCCGGCGTGGCCGCGGAGAGCAGCGCAGAGGCCAGCAGCGTCGCGGCGAACTTGATGAGCATCTGGTGTGATTTGCAAGCAGGCGACTCGTCAGCCACGAACCAAGGCTCAGCCTGCTTCCGCTTTATAGACCTGGCGTCCGCGGACGGTGGTCGTCATGTGCGGGCGCTGCACATGAAAAACGCATCTGTGCATCTCTGCTCGCCAATTGAAAGAAGATGCAGGGAAGGAACGGCGTCCATGGGGTGCATTCGCGCCATTCAAATATTCGTCAAAACGCGCTCGTTGCAGTTGCGAAGGTGGTTGATCCGGCGGAGGGAGGCGCCTTCTGACCCCTGTATAATCCCGAGATGGCCTTGGCCTCCGTCATAGGACCGCGTATGCGTGGTCCAGCGAGCACGGGAGGCCCGGCACGTGCTGAAATTCAGGATCCGCGGCGCAATCCCTTTCCGCCGGTCATTTCAGTTTGGTGCAAGCTACCTCCAAATATGTGCATGCGAAGAAGTCGTTGGGCCTGTTGCATGTGCTCACTGCGCGGTGCTCGACAACTCCGTGCAGCGGGTACCTGTTCGACTTTTCTTGTACGGGGCGGATTTATCCGGACCAATGCGCTTGCCGCGTTTCTGGTGCTATTGCATCAAATTCCCTTATAGAGCCTGAACGCTCGCCGTCCCAAATCAGGCGAAGCCAGATGGGGGTAATCCATAATTTCACATGCAATTGACATAATTTCACGTGCAATCTCGACCGCGTAATGACGATGGTATAACACGGGGTCAAGGTAAGTCAGGGAAAGAGTCCCGCTGGTGCGCGGTGCACATCCGCTTCCCATTATTGGGAGATCGCGTCGCGGAAGAACCCCGTTCGACTCGGGGGTGGGACATAGGTTTGAAATCTCTTATCTTTTTGAACTCTACCGCGCGCCGGTCGACCAGTACAATGCTTTAAGAAATATAATGCATAGTCAAGTAGGGGATATACAGCGTGGTCAGGGTAAAGGAAAGAGTCCCGCTGGTGCGCGGTGCACGTCCGCTTCCTATTCTTGGGAAAAGCCTTGACGCGGATGGACCCCGTTCGACTCGGGGGTGGGACATGAATTGCCCGTGCTGGACTCCCTTTTTGAACACAATAATTTCTGGTGTAGTCCTTGGTTACACCAGAAGAATG